ATATATATATATATATATATATATATATATATATATATATATATATATATGTCGTACCTAGTAGCCAGAACTCACTTCTGAGCCTACTATGCAAGGCCCGATTTGCCTAATAAGCCAAGTTTTCATGAATTAATTGCTTTTCGACTACCTAACCTACCTAACCTAACCTAACCTAACTTTTTCGGCTACCTAACCTAACCTAACCTATAAAGATAGGTTAGGTTAGGTTAGGTAGGGTTGGTTAGGTTCGGTCATATATCTACGTTAATTTTAACTCCAATAAAAAAAAATTGACCTCTTACATAATGAAATGGGTTGCTTTATCATTTCATAAGAAAAAAATTAGAGAAAATATATTAATTCATGAAAACTTGGCTTATTAGGCAAATCGGGCCTTGCATTGTAGGCTGAAAAGTGAGTTCTGGCTACTAGGTACGACATATATATATATATATATATATATATATATATATATATATATATATATATATATATATATATATATATATATATATATATATATATATACAAACAAGCCTGAATGGTCCCCAGGACTATATGCGACTGAAAACTCACACCCCAGAAGTGACTCGAACCCATACTCCCAGGAGCAATGCAACTGGTATCTACAGGACGCCTTAATCTGCTTGACCATCACGACCGGATAAGGAAGTGATAGCCGAAGCTATTTGAACCACTTCCCCGTGCCGGCGGGGAAGTGGTTCAAATAGCTTCGGCTATCACTTCCTTATCCGGTCTTGATGGTCAAGCGGATTAAGGCATCCTGTAGATACCAGTTGCATTGCTCCTGGGAGTATGGGTTCGAGTCACTCTTGGGGTGTGAGTTTTCAGTCATATATATATATATACTCGGACAGCAGGCATTCCTATAGCATATTTCGTTAAATATGACCGCATTGCTGGTGTTGTCGATCTTATAGTATTAGCTTTCTATGCTTCTTACTACTTCCTTAGCTTCGGTTTTAAGAAGAGCAATCAAGTTAACGAAATTTATGGTAAAGAAACTCTAGTGATTATTGAAGGGTTTATTTTCTACGACGTTTCGTTTCACTCTGGAACATTTTCAGGAAAGGAATGAATACAGAAGAGTGATTGATTGATAAAGATTAAGCCACCCTTAAGTTGGCACGGGGATGAATAGCCAGTAAGTGGAGGCTCTTTCAAGCCATTACCAGTTCTAATAGCTGTTACTAGAGATTTGTGGATGGGTGGGGGTCTTCATGGTGTAATTCAACCTCGGAGGGTTGACTGTGCCAATTATGGAGCTGGTGGGTTAGTATAGATCTGAGGTGTCCATACCATCAGTAGTTGGTGGTTTTGTCTTTTGTCTCTCAGCCTGAGGTAGGCTCAGGTGTTGTGGATTAGTGTTAGAAGCTATTTCAAGAGCGTTGGTGGTGCTGTTAGTATTTGTAGACAGCTCGTCTGCTAGCATGTCTGCTGAAATGGTGATGGTAAAAGTGTTGGGAGCTGGAGAGGGAAATACCTCTGATTGTGTCGCCTGGGTCTTGGGTGGTTCTGGAGTCTGTGTTGAGGTCGACCTCATGGTCGTCCTTGTGATGCAAGGACGACCACGACTTCTCCAGAGTGGTAGCGTAGGCAGTGAGACTTGCGTCTGGGGCAATGATGGGGTCCAGGCTGTTGGCTAGGTACATCGCGTAGATGTACCTAGATTCGTCATTCAACCTTGACGAATCGTTGATTGTCTGGTCCGGCAAGCCTCTCCGCTAGTCGAATAAGACCATGGATAATGCCTGCACGTGATGCAAGGGACTATGAGGGTGCTGGTTGGTCCTTAGGTTCCCAGGGTGGAGGCCAGGTGGCCTGTTGGGAGGAGTCACTGTTTGGCAGGACTGGAAAGTCTTCTGGTAGGTTGGTGGGAGCTGAGGTGCTGGGTTTGGTGCCAGTGTCTCCGGGGGCAGAAGTAGAAGGTTTGGCTTCATTGGATTCAGCCTGGATCCTAATGATGTCCTGTCTGCGAGGGCAGCTGTGGGAAATTGCAGGGTGATCGCCACTGCAAAGCAGGCAGTAATGGGTTTTTGAATTGTAGATGGAGTAATGATGCACTTCTGAACGTGATGCTAACACTTGTTGGTGGGATGGGAGTAATCATATAGCACCGAAAGCACTAACGGAGCTCGTGGAATCATTCCTTCTTTGCTTGAAAGGGTGGAATCTTGATGCCAAAGCAGAGGAAAGCATGTGTGGCAGCCTGGTTAGCCGCAGCTAAGGTGGTGAAGGATATCTTCATGGTGGGGCGTTTGTCGTTTTAGGTATCGTTGCTGCAGAATGTGATGACGTAATGTATATTGAATTTTGTAACTAGCTCATCAAGACTGTAACTTGCTTAGCTAAATGAATTGTGGGGATCAGTCCCTGAGCCCATTATGTGCCTCTGTAACCCTTTCCACTACCGCCCATAAGATGGGTATGGGGTGCATAATAAATGAACTAAACTAATTAAAACTGCTGCAGAATATAACATCGAATACCCCCAGGTTCGGATTTTCTTCCTCAAAGTTGGTAATGATCTCCGTTTGTTCTCGGTCCGCGATCCAGCAGCTGGTCCCCCTGATATGGCCACTGCCTTTTGGAAACGAAAGGCGGTGGAGTTTCTGATGGGGAAGGAAGAGACAATTGCGCACCGCGTTCCGCAAGGCGCGGTGCGGACAGTCTGGGTGGCATAAATAGCGCGGGAAGGGAGGTCTTCCCCTCACTCCATTCTCGACACGGCCGCGATTCACGAAGCGCCCACCCTCCTCCCCCCTTTATGCTGGCTGCCAGTTTTCCTGGTTCTGACTACGTCAGTCGTTGTTCTTCACGTCTTTCCTCCCGTTTCACTGGGGATGGGTGGGGGGGGGGGGTGCAGCGCCCGTCCCCAAGTGTTCCGCTGTCCGCAGCTACTACTTTGACTTTACAGCCATTCTACTAGTAAGCCCTAACTTAAGTCAGGAAATTTTTCTCCTTATTCTTTGGTGGCTCGGCCTCTGGCCTGGGGTTATTTTCTTCTCCAAATTCATATCAGGCTTTCCCAGTCTCTATGTAATTTTCTGCCGCCTGATTATTTCCAAATAGGGTTTCCATTATGTTATGTTGTTCACTTATGGTGTCCTGACTGTTATACTTAGAGTTAGATTTGTTACATTCGCCTCACTGCTAATTCTAGACAATAGGCCATTCGGTTTCTGCAGAGTTTGTTACTAGGCTACAAGATTACTTTTATTTTACTACGGGTGTACAATTTAAGTTGTTTCGTGTACTTTGAGTTAGCCACGGCTATGTTATACATTTGTTAAGACCTACTTAGAAGCCTGTTTTACTCTGCAGAATTATTTATCCTGTACTAATAAAATTTACGCCCCCATACTGTTGGTGTCTTCCTTCCCCTGATCAGAAAAAAGACTGTTCGATCGGCGATGATCTGACGCAGGAAGAGAGGAAAGAGGTGGTACACTTTGCAAAGTGCGATCAAATTTTTGGAGTTTTTCATGATCCTCCACACACGAGAAATCGAGCACAATATTCTCCCCATCTTGACCAAGGTCGATGGGTGTAATGCCGGGGACCTTTTAGGATCTTCAAGACATCGCTTTTGGTGAAAGCGTCCCTATGGCCGTCCATAGGGTGAGTCCTGACTTTTAGGTGTTTGTGGAGCATTGTCGTTGTTAAAAACTCCTCAACGGGTCGCAGTGGCGATGGATGTCTTGTGAAGTTACTCAGGCTTCAATGGATGCAGGTGCACAGAAGATTGATTGAGTGACAAAGATTAAGCCACACACAAGAGGTGGCACGGGCATGAAGAGCCCGTAAAGCAAAGAAGGTGCAATTTTGTCTTAAATACACATGTGGAAGAGGTAAAGTTGTGTGGAGTGAGGTGAAGGGTCGAAGGAAAATAGAGGTAATCAAACATAAGGTAAGGAATAGGAGAATATTGGGAAAAGGCGGCCAATCAAACATTGGGTAAGGCAGTGGGCAGGGGGAACTCAGTAGAAATGTCGCTATCCGGTGATGTTTGGTGAGATCTAGATCTGAGCATAGGCAAGGTATCAAAGTCGTTACTCTGCATATTTAGTTGTTGTTTTCTCTTATGAGTAAAGCTTCTAGGATTTGCGGTCTTCTCTGCTAGTGGTGGATTCCAGGATTTGCAGTCTTCTCTGGCCAGTGGTGGATTCCAGGATTGCTGTATTTTCTACTAGCATATTCCTAGTGAGTGTTGTGTTATGTACACTTTGCATATGGTTTCTGGGGGCACCAGCTTGTAAACGGCAGGTCAGTCTTCTCGAAAGCTTTGTGGTGGACATGCCAATATAAGATCGAAGGTGACATCCTGCACTGGGGCGTGTAAATTGGTATACCACGTTTGCTTGTTGGAGAGAGTTGTATTGTTTACTGGGCTGTTCTCTAGTATTAAATCAGCAGTCCTTTTTGTTTTGTAGTAAATAATGAATTCCAATCTTTGGTTTCGCTTCATTTAAAATTATATTTTTAAATGTTCTTTCTTCAGTTTTGTATTGTGAGCTCATAGTGGATTTGTAATAGAGTTTTATGGGAGGGGTGTTGGCTGTTGTGGTTGTTGTTCTCCGGTATACCATTTTTCTAAATATCTTCTGATGTGGTGTTGACTTCTCTGTTCGTGTACCCGTTGTTTATCAATACTTGAAGACTTCTGTCCAGGTCATTGTGTATGTTATGCCAGTCAGAACAATGAGTAAGGGCTCTGTGTTTACATGAATTTAACAGTATTCTTATATCTGACTGGGCATTCAGAGTGACCATTCATACACATTCCCACATTGGTGAGTTTAGTATAAACTTCTGTGGTGAAATTCTTTCTCCACGGATATGGTGAGTGTTTTCACAACCACTTTTCAATAACCGAAATAAACAAATAGCATAAAAACAGATTCTAAACTTAAAATAAAAACCAAGGAGAGAGTAAGTAAAACAATGGGGGCATTATTAAAGCCAAACGTTGTGCTTACTAAAATTGGGAGCGATGTCGAAGGTGAAGAGACAGAGGGTAGTGATGAGCACGGCCACCACCACTGCTACCAGCATCTGTACCGCCACACGCCCGCTTACAACACTCGCCCTGTGAAGAGACAAGAGGGTATAGTGATGACACTGCTGATGGAGGGTGCAGAAACACTTTGGCAAAAGTTTTCTTTAATTTGTAATACAAAACTCAAGACAGGAAATTTCCCAGAATTCTGGAAAAAGGAAAACGTAGTCTGAATTTTCATTAAAGCGGGCAGACAGAACGCCCTGAATTGCAAACCAGTATCACTAACAAGCATTCTGTGTAAAGTGCTGGAGAAGGTATATCAGCTTGAGAATGATGGAGCACCTGGAGAGGATCAACTTTGTTAGCAAAAGACAGTATGGATTTAGAAAGGAAAAGTTAATTGTGCCTGACAAATTTGACTGAGTTCTATGACAAAGTTACTAAAATAAGACAGGAAAAAGAAGGCTGTGAAGACTATTTTCCTATATTATCAAAAAGCATTTGACACTGTCCATTTTGAAAGGCTGATGTTCAAGACGGAGAAGCAAGCTGGGATAAATGGAAAAACACTAAATTGGATAAAGGAGTATCTGAAGGACAGAAACGCAAGAGTCACAGTTAGAGATAAGGTTTTGAGTTAGAGGAATATAACAAGTGGGGTCCCACAAGGTCGGTCTTGAGACTGCTAATGTTCCTAATTAATGTGAGCGACACACCTGAGGAAGTGAGTCCAAACATGTCAATATTTGCAGATGATGCAAAGCTGACGAGGAACACAAAAATAGACGAGGATTACAGCAAGTTACAGGAAGCCTTTCACAAACTCCATGAGTGGGCAAACAAATGTTACTAGAATTACTAGAATTAAAATAATAAATATGGGAAACCGAGAAATGAGACCAGAAAGTATCCACTCCATAAGGGAAAGGCAACAACAGAAATCGGAAAGAGAGAGAATGATTTGGGAGCGGATATAATTCCAACACTAACACCAGAGGCACATAAACAGGGTAACATCAGCAGCATATGGGATGCTAACAAACATTAGAATATTGTTTATAAATCTAAATCAGCATTTTTTTAAACGCACTTTACACGACTTTTTAGACCAATACCGGAATATTTACCGGAGTTACCTGAGAGCCACTAATACTACTGGCCTCGACGGGGACAGGAAGTCGGCGGCGTGTCGAAGGTCCCCCCATTTGCCCTAATGATCTTTCCCAGTTGTATTTTAAAACCCAAGAGAGTTTTGGTATTTGCGGATTCGATGGGAAGGCGGTTCCACAGGATCCATCCGTGGACTCTCCTGTTCTCGGTCCTACATTGTCGTTTGTTGACCTTGAAACCATTGCTCCTCGTTCGTGTTACATCTGACCTTTTGAAGGAATTGTCTGGATCAACATCCTCCAAATTGTTTAGTATTTAAAAATTTTAATGAGATCCGCCCTGTCATGTCTTAATGCAGTGTTGATAGCCCTGTGGCCCTCAACCGTGCCTGGTACAAGACATGACTTAGCTCTGGAATGACTTTTGTTGCCTGGTGTTGCACCTTCTCTACAGCAGCTATGTCTTTCTGAAGATGAGGTCTCCAGTCTGGATGCAATAATCCAGGTGGAGGCGCACCAGAGACTTATACAATTGAGTGACTAACTTAATTCTTTTCCTTAAAGGTAAAGGTACACTTAATTATTCCTAGGGTTTGGTTAGCTTTTTTACTGCCGAACCCATTTGTTGTCTAAATTTCAGTGAATGATGGATTCTGACTCCAAGGTCCTTTGCGTCATCAATCTGTTGTAAGGTAGTGCTGTTAATTTGGTAGTTGTGACGTGGATTGTTATGCCCCACATGCAATGTCTTGCATTTATCAACATTAAAAAAACATTTGCCAGTCTTCTGACCATTTGTAGAGTTCATGTAGATCTCTTTGTAAGGCCTCAATATAAATTTCACTTCCCACTTTACCATAAATCTTAGTACCATCTGCAAATCTGACGATGTGGTTTGTAATATTCTCATCTATGTCATTGATGTATATGACAAAAAGAGTTGGCCCCAAATTGGATCCCTGAGGCACCCCACTTACCACATTTTCCAGTCAGATTCATTCTCATTTAGCATGACCCTTTGCTTTCTTTGTTTGAACCATTGTTTTATCTATTCCAGTATTTTCCCATTTGTTCCATGTGCCTGTAATTTCCTTGCTAATCTTTCATGTGGTATCTTATCAAAAGCTGCTGTTGTTTTTTTTAGTTTTTGTTTCTATCCAAAGCTTCTGCTGTTATCACCAGATCTTATACGTCACTATCTTCTCTCTGTCCGCATTCAGAGTGTTTTCCCTGAGTGTATAATTTCCGTGTATGAAAGTCCATAAACTGTTTCATCAAAACTTTCTGACTCTCTTGTAGTTCTTTAATTATGTCATCATGTCATCGGTTTTATTATGCACCTCATATCCATCCCGTGGGCGGTAGTGGAAAGGATTACAGAGGCACATAATCGGTTCAGGAAGTGAACTTAACAGTTCGTTTAGCTAAGCAAGTGACAATCTTGTGACCTATCCACCGCTGCCCACTGGATGGGGGGGGGGGGTGCCGTGTGCAAGATAAACATGTCAATTGTGACACTAGCTCTCCACATGTCAGTTGCCTAATTTAGAAACTGTACTTGTGGTCGGTCTCGAGCCCATTGTTGATGTAACGATGTTTTTTTTTAGTTTACTTCTTCTATTATGCACCCCATACCCATCTTGTGGGCGGTAGTGGAAAGGGTTACAGAGGCACATAATGGGCTCAGGGACTGAACCCCACAATTCATTTAGCTAAGCAAGTTACAATCTTGATGAGCTAGTTACAAAATTCAGTATAAGTCGTCACATCAACAATGGGTTCGAGATCGACCACAAGTACAGGTTCTAAATTAAGCAACTGACATATGTGGAGAGCTAGTGTCACAATTGATATGTTTGTCCTGCACACCGCCCCCCATCCAGTGGGCAGCGGTGGATAGGTTACAATCACTTAGTTACTACCTACAGTTAGCAAACTGGGGATATTTGGCTAAAATTCCTGTTAGCAAATCATGTGCATTGAATTTGTAACTAGCTCACCAAGATTGTAACTTGCTTAGCTAAATGAGTTGTGGGGTTCAGTCCCTGAGCCCATTATGTGCCTCTGTAACCCTTTCCACTACCGCCCACAAGATGGGTATGGGGTGCATAATAAATGAACTAAACTAACTTCCGGATTAACATTTGGACATTTCACAAAGATATTTATAGAGCTGTTTCTAAAAAAAAAATATTTTTCACTCTCAGTTGCATAGCGGTGTGTGAATTTATTAATATTTTGTGAATTATATGTGAACAATTTCTGGAACAAAGTTTACATTTGGTCAGGTCTACTCCAGCAGATTGTGCAAACTCCCAGAGGTACTTGTAGCTGGGTCTAAGCCTATCAGTAGTAACATCTACTTGTCTGCTGACTTAGTTTGAATGAGACGTAAATATATCTCCTGTGCATAGTAGTATGTTGATAGATGGAATAGTTCAAACCATCCTCCAGCCCAAATTATAAGTAAAATACGAATTTATGCCATGATGAAGATGTGTTCAAAGTCTATGGACTCGGCACCGAACATCTCACCTCCACGGACTGGATGGTAGGGAGCGTGTGGACTGTCTGCAACACCTAAATGATCGTACCATTACACTAGTCACTCATTATTTATTAGAGAGTAAGAACAGGGTTTGTTAGTTATACTCCAAGGTACGGCTTCCAATCCCGTACCTTACAACCTGCAAAGTTGAGTTAGGCTAACCCCATATGTCTAGCCTCCAACCACGGACACACGAACAGACAGATAAACATTCTCTCTTAGATGTAGTCTATAAACGGCTTCATCTCGAATATAAAAAAATATTATTATTTACCATGAGTTTAGTGAGGTATAGATAGGTCTATGTAAGGTTAAGTAAGGTGTTTTGGTTAGTTTGATTTAATGATTGTTTACAATAGAGGCTGAAAGTAAACGAAGCATGTTTCCCGCCACAACTTGAACATGGTCAAGAGTGTTGTGAGTCAAAGACTAACTTACCTAAATATCAATAAGTCAGTAGGTGACTTTTGTTTTATTTCCTTTATGGGCTGGAATAATTAATGCAAATTAATTTCCCTCTTGTCACATTTCCATACAATTTTGTTTATTAGAGCCCTCAGACTAGCCATTGGCAACCCACGGTGGCGATCAACATCCCCTTCACGAGCCCACAACATAACATACTCAAGAGTTCTATCAAGCCTTCGGAGGCCAGTATGGTATATATATATATATATATATATATATATATATATATATATATATATATATATATGAATGAAAACTCACACCCCAGAAGTGACTCGAACCCATACTCCCAGGAGCAACGCAACTGGTAACTACAGGGCGCCTTAATCCACTTGACCATCACGGCCGTCAAAAGGAAGTGATAGCCTCGGCTATCACTTCCTTTATATATATATATATATATATATATATATATATATATATATATATATATATATATATATATATATATATATATATATATATATGTATATATGTGTGTGTTGGGGGGGGCTTCAGGTTACGTCTTAAAATTAAATATATATATTCCTGAAGGATGTGTTAATGACCGCGAGAGGTGTAATGATGATATGTTTGCTCATGTGTTGGTGTGTTCAGAGCTCTTGACACCTGTTGACAGGTGTTCAATGGGTGTAGTGTCATGACAGGTGTTGATAACGACTTGCTCTGAGGTATTACGGATAACTCGTCTAATATTATGGATTCTATGTAGCAGGTGTGGTAAGTGTGTAGTAGGTGTGGTGAGTGTGCAGCAGGTGTGGTGACTGTGTAGCAGGTGTGGTGAGTGTGTAGCAGTTGTGGTAGGAGTGCAGCAGGTGTGGTGTGAGAGGGTAGATTTTGCCAGGTGTGTTAAAGTGTGTAAAGTGAGTGCACCATGACCTCTCCCGAGTGTATAGTGTGAGCACAAGGTCGAGGTTTGTTTATGAAGACTCAGCTATGTCTTGTTAGGTATCAGTGGAGAG